GTTTGCTGTCTGAGTAAATATATATAAATAATTCTGCATATTCCTTTTGGCATCAAATATTACTCGATTTCTCTTCAATTTAACGTCAATAACTTATTTTAAAAGCATTTTTGACAAAAAAACGTTGCAACAGTAATGGCGTCCATCTTGTTTATAACTGTCAAGTCAAAATATTTTTTATATTATTTATACGCAACATATTTGATATAAATCAAGGATTTATTTAAAACTAATGGTTCAGGATAATAAATATTAATAATTTTCATATACATATGTTCAAATATTTAAAAAATGCTTGGGGTGAAAATTCACAAATTATTTTTTCATTCAGTTTGCTCTCTAACTAAATATAAATTATTTTGAAAATTCCTTTTAGCATCAAATATTACTCGATTTCTCTTCAATTTTAATGCCAATAACTTATTTTTAAAGTTTTTTGACAAAAAAAAACGTTGCAACAGTAATGACGTCCATCTTGTTTATAAATGTTGACAAATCTTTTTGTTAATATTTTTTATGAGATAGAAATAAAAGATTCATTATAACAAATAGTAATATAGATAAATGATTTACATTTACAATTATATATGCCTATAAAACATATATATCCACATGTCAGTAATCACTAAAAAAAGTTATGAACTCAATCTAACTTATGTGCCTCAAATTTTACAATATTTTTTCATTCATCAATAATTCCGCAAATTTTTTGTATTAGCTGTTACACAATATTCTGTAATTCTGTAATAAACAATTTAATCCCAATATCTTACATTATTAAGTATTTTTGCAAAAAAATACGTTTCAACAGAAATGGCGTCCATCTTGTTTATAAATGTCAAGTCAATTTTTTCAATTATTAATGTTATGTCAGTGTTATTAAAAACTTTATTAAATCTGAGTAACTCAAAATTGACAATATTTTTCTTATTCATATATAATTCCGCAAATTAATAGCACTAGATGTCGCCCAATTTCTATAAACAATTCAATGCCAATAACTTACATTATTAAAGTATTTTTGTTTAAAAATACGTTGCAACAGAAATGGCGTTCATCTTGTTTATAACTGTCAAGTCAAAATTTTTTTATTATTATTTATTTACACGCAACAGATTTGATATAAATCAAGGATTTACATAAAATTAATGATTCAGGATAATAAATTATGTTAATTTTTATATGCACATGTCAGTAATTTATAAAAAACGTTTGGGGTTGAAAATTTGCAAAATGTTTTTTTTCGTACGATTGATATCAGACTTAAAAAAACAAACAGTAATGATACTAGCACTTTATATGCCTTAATTCTAAGCAAAATAATGTCAATATCTTACAATTTAGAAGTATTTTATCAAATACAACATGTTGCAAAAGTAAACGGCGTCCATCTTGTGTTTAAATGTCAGGTCAAAATGCTTTTTTGTTAAATTCTTTCAAAAACAGAGTACAGAAAAACTATAGATTCAGCATAATAAATCCTGCATATGCATTTATCAATAATAATCTATCAAAAAGTTGGAGTTCGCAATTACCAAAATATCTTTTTAAATTTGGTATTACAAATGTGTAAAAAAATTAACAAAATGAGAATATATCTGCAAAGTGCTTTTAGCATAATATATAACCTAAATTTTAAACAATTTAAATCAAGTAACTTATATTTAAAAAAATTTTAGTTTAAAAATCTGTTGCAAAAGTAACGGCGTCCATTTTGTTTATAAATCAAAGTCAAGTCAAAAACCTTTTTGTTAATTGGTTTCAAATATATTTATTTATTCATACGAAATTCAATATAAAATAATAAAAATATCATTAAATCGACAAAAAATGCACATTATTATTAAATACTTCTTTCAAATTGAAGTTACAATACACAAAAAAATTAATTATTAATTGCAAATTTTATATAGATTTGATTTATAACTGCAACACCTGCCATTTTGTTTTCAACTGTCAAATGTTATAAATGATTTATTTATTAAATGTTTATGTAACACATATGTTGTTAAAACAATATAAATAGTTTTTAATATCATTAGCCGACATTTGAGATAATTTTTTGTATCTTAAAGTAAATAATCAAAATATAAATAATTTATTATTTTAAATACCATCTGTCAAAAAACTTGATAAGAATAAATTATAATTTATTAATGATGCTACTAGTATGAAACGGTACCCAATTTACGAAAAAATATTATTATTAATTTAAATAAACCTGCTTGATAAGTAATTACTGTATTTTAAAGTGAATAATGTTGTTATTTGTTCAAATATTTAAAATATTAAATTTATAATAATTAATGTGGTTTAACTGCTGTCATTAACAAATTTT